CTAAGAAGCCTCGGGAGTACAAATGTGGATAATCTTGGCTAACTTTCATTACATTTTAGGATTATAACTTCTTTTCTACCTATGTTGATTTATTCTAACTTAGCTCACTACAATGGAGTTTTACGGTAGAGGAGACAAACAAGGCTCAACATCCTCACAGTACCTTTTTGAGACAATATAATTCTCAGCCCACTCTTCTTAATAAGCCATTCTTCTTTCAATGTCTAGGGGGAGCAAATTCCTAAATTTTGTCCTTCCTTCTCCTCCTTTGTGTTGGAGACCAGACACTTCTCTTTCAAGAGCTGATACCCCATTTTAATGCTTCTGTTTCTTTCCCTGAGTTGCCTTTTAGGAAATAGCAGCCATTTTTTATGTACTGTCCCCTTCCATGAACCAGTTGCCTTCTATATGGCAAGCACTTGTACTTGTTTCCTGTAACTCCCACACTGAAGCCTCACTGGGGTTTACATTTAAGAAAATAGAGTCTTGTGGAACTTAAGTCCTTGGTCAGAGTCACTGGGTTACTTGGGAAGTTTGAACAAGACCCATCTCCACAGTTATGTCCTTTCCCCCATTCTTCACTGAGAAGAAAAACACCCACCTTTTCTATGCTTTAGTCCCTGGCTTCCCCTTCTCCAGAGAAGTAGGCGGGACTTAGAGTGGGTACGCTTGTTGTGCTAGTCTTATTATCACACTGAAGCCTGAAACTTCAGGCAAGTTTGTTCATTTTTCTTGGTCTCTATTCCAGTGTCTGTTACTAGACATAAGTGCCTGAATGAGTTTTCCTCCGAAACACCATATAAAGAGCTATGAAAGCTGGTCATAGGCTGATACCCAGCACCCTCTGAGGCTGAGGCAGGAGGAATTCAAGTCTAAGCCCAGCTGGGGGCAATTTAGTGACATAGCAAGACCCTGTCTCAAAATTTTAAAACAAAATTTTAAAGGCTAGGAATGTAGCTTAGAGTGAAGGCCCTGGGTTCACTCCCTGGTTCTAACACACACACACACACACACACACACACACACACACACGGCTATGGTACACATGAAAACAACTGGCTCCTAGCAAGGGACTGTGGGCTGTGGGGCTGGGGAGAGAGAGCTGGGGGCAGTGAAGTGGTTTTAGGAAACTTATCTGTTAGTGGAGGATTCAGGCAGATAAAACACACTGGTGGGATCTGAATGATAATTTTTTTCCAATAAAGTTGGGTAACCACCTGAGGCCTCCTCCAGAGAGGATGTGATCTCAGCCTAAGACCACTATAAATTAATATATGTGCTGCCAAAGCGAGCACAAGACCACTATAAATTAGTTTGTGGGGATTTTTGTCTTTCCAGTTACAATAAGGGGACTTACATTCTTGACTGAAGATCCACCTCGCTTTGGGTTGAAGGGGAGCAAAAACTTGTATTGCTTGGCAAACAAAATATCACAATTTTGACGGAAGATGAAATTGCTATCACTGAATTTTACATTTTCTTCAGTTTCCAGCCTGATATGGCATGGTACTTTTTCATTTAACATTTTGATACTTTGTTCATGGAAGATTTTTTGTGCTAGTTTTGATTTTCAAAAAATGTTGCAGTAAAATATTATTTATCTCTGCTGTTGAATGTTTGGGCATCTTTCGCCTTTTAACGTTTGTGCCATGGTGAGCATCTTATCACCTTATTCTAGGCCCCAAGAATGTGATAGTGTCACAGCTGAATTGGCATTAATGTGGGCCACACAAATAATCTGCTTGTGTTGGACACATTTTTATTTGTATATAATACATAGTAAATACATTCCTCATGGGAAATTGGTACCCTTTCATCTTCCTCCATCCCCAGATTCCCTTCTAATCGCCACAAAGTATCTCCCTGTTTCCTGTCATCTGTCACTTATTTTGCTCTTTAAATTATTTATGCTTTGGATTTCTCATACAAGAGCATATATATACATATATATACATACATATATATATACACATATATATGTATGTATATATATGCACATAGTTTGGTTCCAAAATTTAGCTATCATGAGTTATGCATAGGTGTGCATGTGTCACTGTAATATGATGTTGTTGAACAAGTTTAAACTCTTGGCATCCATTTCTGCTTTAGCATAAATAATTCTCTCCAAGTGCTGTTACATACCCCACCATGCTTTTGTAAGAATTTGAAACAAAAAGCTCTTCCTCTTCTCTGATTCTATTAAAATAAGATGGTTTCCCAAAGAAAATTACAGTAATAAATACAAGTGTTTATAACATCCATCATACTGTGTTTGGGGCAGGGCACATCTGCCCGGTTCTGGGCAAACACCAGCCCAGCCCTCTTTGATGGTGGTGGTAGTGGGATTTCCAGACATTAGGAAACTGTGTCCTATTTTTAACTTTCATTTCCTCTCAAATAAGACTCAGGCCATTCCCTTGGTATACCCCTTGGTTTTCTCTTGCAGTTTTACTTTCTCTGAGCTTGGCTTCTTATATTCAAAGTTTTTTTTCTTTTTTTTTTTTTTGGTAGCGGGGATCGAACTTGGGACCTTGCGCTTGCGAGGCAGGCACTGGAACCACTGAGCTAAATCCCTGGCCCTATATTCAAAGTTTTTTTCCCCTAAATATTTTCTCTTTTGAGAAATTTAAATGCATATTTGCCCACCTTATTTCATAACCCCAGATCTGGACACCAATTTCCTTCCTAGAATCCTTATTCAAGATAGATTAGTAAAAGCATCAAGTGCAGACTTTCCCCTGACACTAATGGACCCTAAAGATTCCACCAAAAGAATTTTAGAGCTGATAAATTTAACGGAGTAACACAATAAAAAATTAATATAGCTTTTCTGAATATCAATAATAGAGTAGCTGAGAAAGAAATCAGAAAAACATTTTCAATCATGATAGCTTTAAAAAAACACCCAGGGAACAATCTAACCAAAGAAATACTAATATGATAAAGATTTCAGAACACTGAAGAAAAAAGTTAAAGAAGACACTAGAAAAGGGAAAATATCTCATGTACATTATTTGGCAGAAATAATATTGTTAAGCCGGGGATTTAGCTCAGTGGTTTCAATGCCTGCTTTGCAAGTGCAAGGACCCGAGTTCAATCCCCGGTACAAAAAAAACCAAACAACAAAAAAAGAAATAATATTGTTAAGGTGGCTGTATTACCAAAAGTAATCTATAGAATCAATGAAATCCAATGAAAATACCAATGACATTTCTCATAGAACTAGGGGGGAAACAAATTCAAAGACCCAATTCAAAAATGGGCATCTGAAATGAACAGACATTTCTCAGACAAGAAAGTAAAAGCAGCAAACAAATATATGAAAAAATGTTCAACATCACTGGTCATTCGAGAGATGTAGATGAAAAGAACACTGAGATT